GTGCGTGCGATGAGGAACCACATGGCGTGAATGATGCGGGAGTGGTCCCAAGCGGAAGCGCGACCGCTCCGCACTGCCCCTTCTGCGCCCACATTGTCGGACCAAATCACCACTCGGCGGTCCGCCAGCAGTTCACTAAAGGTAGCTAATCCCAGCGCTATAGCGAGCAGTTCTAACGCCATAATCTGAGAGTCCCGGCGCGGCGCCAAGTCCTCCAGCAGCTCCTGGTCTGGAGGGGCGTCGGACCAGAAGGCGCGACCATCGACGAACAGCACGGCGGCGAGCCGTGGATCGGACCCGCCCCTTGCGTCAGCGAACAAGTGCACTTCTTGCCGTTCCAGCTGCGCCCACGGCTTGGACTGATGGATGCCGAGGGCCAGCACCTCCGCCCACCATGACAGCGCCAAGTTGAGCGGGGCGCGAACGACACCCCGTCGCGCATTCTGCTGCGCGAACAGGGGCTGCAACATCGCACGCCCTAGCCGCTCGAAGCAATGTTGACCTGCCCAGCTGAGAGCGCCGGCCAGCTTGCTGGCTTGGCCGGCACATAGTGTCCCGCAGTCGAGCGCTTGCTTGATCAAGAAAAGCCACTTGCGCACCTTCTTGGGCGCGGGAAACAAGTTGATCCCGCTGAGAGAAAAGGACACATGCAGGCCCAAAATCTCCAGCTCGTCGCCACATTCCAGCTTCTTATCGGAAACCGCTCCTGGACCTAGGAGCAGGCGCACTAGTCTGGCCAGCGATGCCATGGTATGCTCTTTAGTTGCGGGTGCGCACGGCCCAAAGAAATCGTCCACGTATCGGAGGGTGGGAATCTTTAAGAGCTTGCGGGCGAGGTGCGCCAAGGCAGCTCCGACTCGGTCCCACCCAAAGACGGCAGCCAGGGCGCCGAACATCAACGCCAGGTGACCAGTGACCCAAATGTCTCCGTCGTGCAAATACGTGCTGTAAGCTGCCCACCTGTGGCAAGGCCGACAACGACACCGCAAACGCCGGGTTCCTCTGGAACCCCGACACGAGCACCCCAGGTCGATGCTTTTAACGGGGGGGGGCACCCGGAAATCCCGAGCCTGTGTTCAGGAGCGATAGGCACACGCCGGTAAGCGGAGTCGATGTCAGCCTTAAACAGTGCCGGTGCGTGCCCGCGCAGACCGTGATAGCAGCGCAGGGCGTCCACCAAAACGTCAGCCCCGTCCAGCAACAACCTCTCGGCGGGCTGGCACGCCGAGTTGATGCCCCCTCTCGATTCATCGTCTACTACGCGAACCTTGGGCGCGCCATCCGGCTTGACGCCCTGCACAATGGAGAAACGCGGGGACAGACGCACCCTGCCCAAGTCCGCCTTGGCCAGCACAACCGGAGCGGTCATCCGCGACAGAGACGCATCGGCGAGCGCGCCCTCGTGGATCGCAGACGAGTTCACGTCCTCTCGCAAGGAAGACAAAATGGCTCTATTGTGCACGGGGGAGGAGGTCAGCAACTCCTCGGACGACGTGGGCTCCGGGAATTTCTTTGCGGGCCCTCTGCCCGCATGGGGCAGCTTTCCGAGCAAAGGCGCGCCGTAGCGGAACAGATCAGCCGCGGCCGTGTCATCGTAGCTCGTCATGTCGAGCAGAGCAGCTAAAAGCGGCCCATTCACGTCGGCGGACACGGCGCGCGTCGCGTCGTCAGCGCCGGCGAACCATTGCTCGACGGCCCCGTCACGTCGTAACGCTTGTCCCCACGCTTCCAGGCGTGATAGCATATTGTCGCGCAGACGCATAACCTCTACGCTGTCTCTGGACGCTTCCCACTCTATGGCGCAGCGAACGTCTTCCTCAATCCCGCGCGATGGCGCGATGTGAAATCCGTCCTTCATTGCACAGTTGATAAATTCTATCTTCTGCACGTCGCCAGCGTCAAGCTCTCCTACAACGCGACAGATTTTTAACGCGCGCGCGCGGGAGCAAAGACGGATACGCGATGGGGCCTTTCGACAAATGGGCTTGCACCCCGCCCACCGCGGGAGCGCCCGCGCCGGCAACTTCTTCCAGTGAAACAACCGGTGTAGGCTGCGCCCCGCGCGTCCACACCGAATTGGTAGCCTGCGCAAGCGCGACGCCACCGCGCGCGACATACATGTAGGTGCGCCGCGCTTCCAGCCTCCTGTCCGCGGCATGCTTCACATGTCACCGCTGGACTCTCAGCTGCGCCTGCGCGCCGTCCGGCTACCGCCGTCGCGCGCGCGCGCACCGACCCGCGCCTGCGCGGCGCAGGAACGTTGATCAGCGCTCGTGATGCCTGGCTCTCTTGGCCCGCGGCTCCCCGTACTCGCCGCGGTCGTTCGGCGCCGCCGGGGGCGCAGGCGGGAACTTGCCCTTGCCGCCGCCCTTGGCGCCCTTGCCGCCGCCCTTGCCGGGTTTTCCGCCGCCCTTGGCACCCTTGCCCCCGCGGGGGGCTGAGCGCTCCTGACTTTCGCGATCGTACGCGGCCTCTGCCTCGCCCAAGAGAGTCACATCGATCGTTGCCACGACAGTTTCGATGTCGAGGGAATCATCACCGGCGCGAGACCTCTCTGCCCAAGTGCGCCGGCAAATCTCATCGTATACGAGCCCCAGCGCGCCACTCCGATTAGCATTGGGCGCCTGCGCGGCCACCTGCCGCGCCGCGCGCGCATCGCACTCGCGCCGCTGGATCCGCAGAGCAACGGCGATAGGCGGGCCTTCATGACGTTCTGGCGGTGGCGAATCGTCGCAGCCAGCGTCATCTGCTCCGTGCAGACGCAAGCGATGGCGTACCTACGCGCTCGGACGACGCCGTTGCTCTTGGGTGCGCGCCCCGCGCGCAGACGCGTGCACCTGTCGAAGGCGGCATGCCATTGCGTGAAAGTGAGCGACTTCGCTTTGACTGGGTTCGCTACGCCGAGCGCGCGCGAAAGGTCGCGAAGATCCCGAGACATGGGCGGGCCCTCATCAGCCTCCTCTTTCGCGCTCTTCGATTCTGCCCAGGACGGCAAGAACTTCTTCAGGTCAGCGAACACAAATGGCCGCTTGATGCCGCGACGCTGCAGCCGCTTCACGTCCGTCTCGAGGGCGTCGACCGCCGCGGACCGCGGCCAAAACGCCTGGCCCACATCCTTCAGAGCGCCTCCTTGCAACTTCGCCTGAATGTCCACGTGGCACATCGGCTCAGGTGCTGACCCGCTCCCGGCCGCGCTGCCTGCGCTGGCCGGATCAGCCGCGCGCTGTTCCTCCGCTGTCAGAGACTTCGCGGCAGCCATCACTCTGGCTAAGAAGGAGCGCTTACCCGCGGACGGGTTGCCCTGCAGTGCGCCGGGATCTGCAAACGCAAGATCACGCACTGACTCCAACTCATTGTCCTGCGCGCGAGGCACTGGCGCGTCGTGGCGGCATTCGCAGCCGCTCGCGGCGCCTGGCATAGGGCTGCGCACTGCCGAAGCCACTCGGCGCCGCGGCTTGTATCATCATGGGCCGCAAGAAAATCAGCCAGGCTCATGGACAGCGTGGGCGTTGCAGCGCACATCGCTGGTGTGGCCGCGGCGCGCCCAACGGCGTATGCGGCTCGCGTCTTCTGCCTGCGCGCACTGCTGGCTCCGTCGCGTAACAACGATCATTGCGCGCGTCTCCTGACGAATGTCAACACGCTGGGCGGCGGAAACCGGTCGCATTGACGCGGTAATATTGGCGTGGTCGCACTGACACGGTCGCGCTGACACGGTCGCAATGACGCGTTCGCTTTTACACATTCGCATTGATACGGTCGCGGCGAGACGGACGCGTTGACACGGTCGCAACGGCACGGTCCCCTTGACACGCCCCACAAGACACGGACGCAGTGACGCGGAGAAATTGGCACGGTCGCAACGACACGGCGTAATTGACGCATTGCGTTGACGCAATCGAAAAGACGCGGTCGCATTGACACGGCCTTACAGACGCGGTCGCATTGACGCGATCTTACTGGCGCGGTCGCGTCGACACGGCCCAGGCACGGTCGCATTGACACGGCCGCATCAACACGATCACATTGACGCGGTCATACTGGCACGGTCGCATTGACACGGCCATAGCACGGTCGCATTGACACGGCTTTATCGACACGGTCGCACTGACACGGTCGTATTGGCACGGTCGCATTGACACGGCCCAGGCACGGTCACATTGACACGGCCTTATTGACCCGGTCTCACTGACACGGTCGTATTGGCACGGTCGCATTGACACGGCCATAGCACGGTCGCATTGACACGGCTTTATCGACACGGTCGCACTGACACGGTCGTATTGGCACGGTCGCATTGACACGGCCCAGGCACGGTCGCATTGACACGGCCTCATTGACACGGTCATACTGACACGGTCATACGGAAACAAAAGCCGCCACGGCGGCCCGCGACGCGCGCACCGAGGGCGCCAGCCTCGCGTTCGGCCGACAAGCGCCCTCGGGGCAGCGCGCGCGACGCGGGGGTATATTTACCCTCCCCCCACCGCAGGGAGACGTGGACAAAGAACACGAACAAGACGAGGAACACGAAGTCCATGAAGACCTGAGGCGAGCCACCCCAAACGCACCCCCCAACCGACCCAACCCGCCCCACCACAGGCACCGCGGCGAACCGCGGCGCCAGCGGCGGGGCGGCAGGGGTAGAAGGTTCCCAGGTCCGCGTTTTTGTGACAACGAACAAAACTGCGTTGTGTTCTCGCCAATAAAAGGGAGGGAGTCTGGACCCTACAAGACAAGCCATTTCAGACCCCCCCCCCGTGGGAGAACCCTCCAAAACATCGTCCCCAGACCCCCCAGGCCCTCCAAGATAGCCTGGAAGAGACCCCCCCCCGAAATGAGACCCCCCTCCCTTTGTTACGAAATCTGGAGTACCTCCTGGGATCTGGGTACAACGGCCCCTCGCCGAAGCTCTGGCTCAAGGCATCCCGGCTCACATCCGATACGTAGACCTTCCCCTACAGTCTGCGCTCGCCCTATCATATGTTGCCCTCTCTTCTCTGCTCGTCGCTCCAGGACGGTGGCACAACGCCCTCTCCGAGGAGGTCGAGGCGGAAGAGGGGGAGGAGGGTGGTCGGGCCCATATTGGGGCTCACGGCTGCGCGGCGGCGGGCGTCCTCCGAGTGGCGATCGGGGCATCGACGTCGTCGCCCCCAACCTGGCGACGGAGGAGGAGGAGGAGGCGAGGAGCCAGTGCACGTCACGTGATGTATGCCATGGACGGCAAGGCGCTGCCTTCTAAAGCAATGCTGGCTTGAAAGTCTTGCCACTCCCCTGTCATTTCCTCGCATCTCCCTCCCTCCCTCTCTCCGTGTCTGCCTCACCCGAACCTCGGTTTCCTCTCTCCTCAGCCCTTCTCCCTCCTGACTCCTCCCTCCTCCCTCCTGCCTTCTCCCTCCTCCTCCTCCTCCTCCTTTTCATCCTCCTCCTCCTCCTCCTCCTCCTCCGCCAGCAAGCGGCGCGGGAGGCGGCTCCACCAAGTCCATGAGATCAGCCGGAGCCGCAGGCTTCTGCGGCGCCTGCGCAACAACGCTCCGGCTGCCCTGGCCCTGTTCGCTCCAGACCTCGCTCCTCCCGCCCATCTCCTACTGCGCCTGCGCCACCGCCGTTTCCTTCTCCCCTGCCCTCGCTCGCCCACAGGCTGTCTCCCGTCCCTCCCTCCACCCCGCCCCCTGGCACCCCTCGTCCTCCCTGCCTCTGCGACATCCTGCTCCCCACTCACTCGTCCTCATCTCTTCTCCCTATCATCCCCTTCCTCCCCTCCTGTCCCCTCCCCTCCCCTCCGCTGCTCACCCTTCTTCGTATCATTTCTCATTCTCGTCATCCATTTCTTTCTCCTCCGCCGCCTCCTGCTCTTCCACCTCCTTCCTGTCCTCATCTCCCTCCTCTCCTGTCCTTTCCTCCTCAATTCCCCCCAACCACTTCCCCTCCTCCCCGCCCTCTGTCCCCCTCCCCTAGCTGCCCACGCCTCTGTTCTCTCTTTCCCCCCGCCCCACCCTTCGGTCCTCCCCTCCGATTTCCCTCCCCTCCCCCCAGCCCCGTCACCATCTTCCCCTCCTCTCCCGCCCCCACTCCCCTATCAGCCTTCCGTCCCTCCCCCTTGTCCACCTCCTCCTCCTCCTCCTCCTCCTCCTCCTCCTCCTCCTCCTCGTCCTCCTCCTCATGCACCACCCCGTCCTTCGAAGCTCACCACCAACCTCCCTCTGCAATCAGCACGGCCGGCGCGCGGGAGCCTGCTCGCCGGATGCACTCGCCGGGGTAGCAGCGCCGCCCCTGCGGGAGAGCCAGTCGGCAGAGGGGCGAGGAAGGGGACCGGGGTGGAGGCAAGAGCCCTCTCCCAGATCTCCCCACTGCCCCTGCCCCTGCCCTTGCCTCTTCCCCTCCCCTTCCCCCTTTTCCCGTTCCCCCTTCCCCTCTCCCTCTTCCCTACATCTCCTCCACCTTCTCGTCAATCCTTCCCCCCCCTCCCCTCACCACTGTTTCCCCCCTCTCGCCACCCCCCTGATTCTCGTCCCCCGCTCTCCATACGGGGCGCCTCCCAGGACAGGAGACGGAGGAGGAAACCGCTGCCTGCCGGTGGCGCCTTCCCCGCCCACTCCCATCGGAAGAGAGGGGGGGGGCCAAGGAGGGCAGATGACCAGGTGAGGCGCCGCCTGCGCCATGGCGGTGCGACATGGCGGTCGACACCACTGGCACAGGCCGCGCGAGACGCGGAGCCCGCGACTGGCCAGACCGAGAGCTACGAGACCGCCCAAGTGCTCTCCCACTGGGGCCCGCGCCCTGGCGCGAGGCCGCTGCGCGCTGCGGCGCCGCGGCTGGCGCGCGCTGCCAAGAAGAACCTCCCCGCCAACATCATCGACGTCGCCTGGCTCGCCGTGGCGACTGTAAGGGCTGCGTGGACGGTGGCGGCCTTCAACCGGCGGCAGCAGACGGAGCTGTGCGGCGATGGGGCCAGAGGCTATAGTGAGAAGGCCGACGTAGTCTGATACCGCCATTCCAGGCCTGAAGACGGTCTTGCGCAAGGACGCCGCGGTGTTCATCGGTCTCCATACCCAGCAGTACCCGCCGACACCGCCGTCGGTCGGCCCCAAATCCGCCAACCCTGTCGGCGTGTGGAAGACGCTCTTCCGTTCGTCATCGTCGTCGTCGTCGCCGTCGTCGTCGTCGTCACCGCCGCCGCCGCCGTCGCCGTCGCCGTCGCCGTCGCCGCTCCCCTTCTTTCCCTGAGAAGCGAATTTGAGTAACGTCGTAATTGAGTCGAATGGAAGCCCCTTCCATTTGATCCCTTCCCCGCCAGGGGGAGGGAGGGGGGTCCTGGGGTGGTCCAGGTCCATGGGGGGGGAACAACACCGATCCCAACCACTTCGTACCGTTCAAGAACCACTTCGGACCGATGACAACCAGCGGAAACGGATGGATCGTAACGTGTAGGATTCCTCATGTAATCCGACAAAGGGAACACCAGATTGCAACCAGAAGAGCTTGTTTCAGCTTCCCTGG